ATACTGCGAATGTAATCTATGAATACCACAAATGTGATTAATATCATGAGTGTAATTAATGAATATCACGAGTGTAATTTAAAAAATAAATAAATTAAAAAAAAATTCATAAATGACCACTTAAATTTTCTGATGCAATGCTTTGACTCTAACAACAAGATATCATGTAATGGGAAAGAAATTCAGACAATGCCTTTGTGCATTTGTTAATTTGCTAATTGGCAAAGCCAAGGGTCTACTCCTTTGGGCCTGTGTTCTTTTAAGAAGAATACTATGTCAAGAAAAAGCAGTTCTATGTTCCTGAGATGGAATGCAAAGGGGTCCTGTTGTTGACTCCGAAAGGACTGCTGGGATGCTGAGTAATGAATCAGGCTGCTCAAGAGGTATTGAAGAACAGAAGTTGTGGCTGAGAGCACAGATAAGGGAACATTCTAGAAGACTGCTTGTACTTGAGTAGGAAGTGTATAGGGGACATACTTCGAGGATGTCAATACTGGTTGGCAGTTAAAGGAAAGATAGTCACAGCTATCATTTGTTAGAGAGGATACAAATACATAAAGAAAGTGTGGGAAGCTGAGGATCTGGGATGACCATTTCTGTAAAGGGCAAACAGCATGGCGAAATCATGGAGTCTGACGAATCTTGGGGCCAAAGAAGAGAACTGAGAAAGTCATCCCTGAAAACTGTGTGGCACCCGCTGTCCTGGTACTGAAGGGGAAAGGTTGACTTTTGTCTCTTCCCTCCCCTTCTCCCTTCCGCTCCCCTCACCTCTCTCTTCTGTCCTCTCCTCTCCCCACTTTACTCTCTTCCTACCCTCCCCTCTTCTCTGTGTTCCTCTCCATCTCCTTCTCTCCATTCCTTTGGCACTTACATCTCCCGGAAGTCCTTAACCTAAGAAACGCAGCAGTATCAGAGCATTAGAAAGGACAAAGGCTCCACTGTGGCATTTGGCTCTCACAATGACAGCTTTTTATTGGTTTCAAATTAGATCATAAGGTCTGTTCCCTAAGGAAAATGTGATGGGAGATAAAGACTCATACTTCTAAAAAAAAGGACTAAGATTATATTTTGAGTTTATGCACATATTAATAATTATTTTTGTTTTCAGATTGACCCAATTTGAAGAAGGAAGGGAAAGTTCAGACAAAGACACAAATTGTTCAGTGTCTGTTTCCCTCGTCCTAAGAATTATGGTTCTAAATAAAAATTAAAACCAAAGCTGAAAACAAAAACAAGTAAACACAAACAAAAAATCCAGAAAGGACTCCACTGACCTCCACGCCTGACATCGTTCTTCAGCCGCTTTCTCCTTCCATACAATGCTCTAAGTCTCAGTGCTTGGCCAACACAGATACCGCCCATGTGGCAGACACCGCGCCTGTGCGGCTACCACGGTATTCTTCTTCTGAAGGAATGGTTTACCACAGGTGAGTTTCTCCTCATGACCCAGAAAATCATGATGAATGCAAAATTAAGGCTACCATATTCCGAATGAGGCATTTCTCTTCAGCCCTCCTTAGAGGTAATTCTATCCTAAAGTTAAATATTCTTCCTCGCCGGTGGTGGTGGCTCACACCTTTAACCCCAGCACTTGGGAGGCAGAGCTAGGTGGATCTCTGTGAGTTCAAGGCCAGCCTCGGCCTCAGAGTGAGTTCCAGGAAAGGCGCAAAGCTACACAGAGAAGTTCTGTCTCAAAAAAACAAAACAAAACAAAAATATTCTTCCTCTATGTGCTTATACCTTCATATGTGTGTAGTTATTAATGTCTATAAACACACAAAGCTCTGTGTGCTTTTGAACGTCGCAGGAAAGGCACTGTGGCAGGAACACTAGTTCCTCATGCAGCTTTTCATGTCCAAGAGTATGGTTTTGTTAAAGCATCTGCTTATTATTCATCACATCTACCTCATCCCTTTTGATTGCTGAATGGTAACTTCTCATTGAGCATCCCTCAAGGTATAGCAGTGATCAAGACAGAGATCTTGGCTGGAAGGAACTTACATCCTATGGGAGGAATTTAGAAGATGTTACATGAACATAATAAGCAAACTGCATAGCATGTTCGATGGTGTTCGAAGGCACAAGAAAATGTACAGCCAGTGACTGTGGTTTGGGAGGGTAGAGTACTGACCCGGAGACAGCAAGTTGAAATTTCAATACAGATGTTCAATGTGGTTCTTTCATTATGCTGTCTCCAATTCTCTGACTGTAATTATAGGTAGAAGTGAGAGAGGCTTTTATTTGTCATATTATCAATATTTTTAGAATTCTTCTAAAATTTCACTGGAAATGTATGTTCCTAAAATTTTGAAATAATACTATTTCTGAAGTCAAGAACTCACCACCCCCCAGATTCCTTATTGCTGAACGTTTTCCTGTTTTTAATCACAAACAAGTTTCTTATTGATCTTGAATTTGTTTTCTTTCTGAGGTGATGAATTGATTTTCCCTTTAGTTTCTTAATGGAGTCAATTTATATCTAGAAATTCTGTCACCCTCACACATGTATAATTTGAAATATTTTTAATCTAAAAAATAAATACCTAAGGTGATTCTTAAAGAAGATGAATTAACTAAACATACTTCTGGCAAGATCAACCAATACATTTGACACAAATCAAATTAAACGCTCCTTCCTCAAGCTGTCTTGGTTACTGTTTTGTCATAGCAATAGAAAGCCAGCTTAATAAGGCAGTGGGCACTCTCAATCACTGACCTATCTCTTTAGTCCCACTGTGTGGTGGGTACCTGTTCCACCTATGACCTTGAGGTACCATCCCCTAGGGCGTGGCCTCTCGGCTAGCTTAAGACCTGAGGGGCACTTACACCTCGCTCTCTTCTCTCCCTCCTGGGCCTGGACGGTGTGAATGACTCAGGCAGCAGAAGCAATGTGGATCTGGCCATCAGCCTTCCAGGACTCTGTGATGATTTTGCCCTATCCTGTTTAGTGAGTTATTCTCCCCAATTTATATCCTAATAAACTCCCTAATACTCCTTAAGCAGACTCCCTTGAATACCTCACTATACCACTGTAGACATTCCTGACTTCCTTTAGCCTTTCTGCCTTTCTTCCTTTCTTCCTTCCTTCCTTCCTTCCTTCCTTCCTTCCTCCCTCCCTCCCTTCCTTCCTTCCTTCCTTCCCTCCTTCCTTCCTTCCTTTCTTCCCTCCTTCCTTTCTTTCTTTGTCATGTGGGGGTAACATTAAAACAGCTTCACCATGGTAGAACTGACAGACAGCAAATTCTACGTGTTTACAGCGTACGGTTTTGTTAAGCTTCGACATTTGCCGATCTCTGAAACCATCAGCACGAGTTAACGAACTCATCTTTCTCCCCCAGAGTTGGCGCGCTACCCTTTCTGCCTCCTTCCTGCCTGCCTGCCTCACCCCTCATTCTAGACAGCCATGGGCTAGTTTTCTGCTGTGATTCTACAGACATACCTTAGACCTAGTAGATTTCAATCACATGGTTATTTAGAGGTTCATGTGTTGTGTTGAGTTTCTATGTTACAGACTTAACTTTGGTATTTTTAATCTTACTCCTTCATGCTGTGTACCTGGTGGATTCTGAGGTCAGCTTTCCAATTCATGTAATTTTTTGTTTTCCCAGGCTGTTGAATTGTTTAAATCTTAGCTATGTTTTTTTTTTTTGTTTGTTTGTTTTTTAATGATCGGGATTTCTAATGGTTCTTTTCTTATATACTAACTGATACCTCATTTATTTGTCGAGATTTATCATTTCTTGTTATTTTCAAATAGTTTCCCATAATTTATTATTTGAAGAATCTAAGCATATTTGTTTTCAGATTTTAAAAATCATTTCTCCACAACTCAAAACTTAAGCTCCAATTCTCTGCCCTTCCTTCCGAATATTTTCTTCCTTTGTGTGTGAGAACACATTGGTGAGGGCACTTCCCTGGTGTTGGTGGCTCTCTCTCCCTCTTCCATCAACCGGCCTTACCCACTCTCTTCTTCTTTGGAAGTTTTGAGCTTGCTCTCACCTTGCTCTTCTAGGACCTTTAAATCTAACCCAATTTAAGAAATAATACATATAGACACCCAACCAGTGGGTGACTTGTTGCAATTTTGCTTTTGTACATAAAAGGGATTATCAAAAACACCTTATTGATTTCCTGTTGAATGAGTGACCATTTTGAAGAGAACTCATTTAGAGAAATAATGGTGTTTGAATTATTTTCTTTCTTTTTTTTTTTTCTTGTTTTTTTCGAAATAGGTTTCTCTGTTGTTTTGGTGCCTGTCCTGGATCTCACTCTGTAGACAAGGCTAACCTCGAACTCACAGAGATCCGCCTGGCTCTGCCTCCCAAGTGCTGGGATTAAAGGCGTGCACCACCCCCACACAGCTGAGACTGAGGGGGTTTTCTTTTGAAGTCTGGAGTTTGCCTATACAGCTAGACTGGCTGGGCAGCAAGACTGAGGGATCCCCTTGTCTGTTGGGCTTATAGGCATGCACTGCTGTACAAGTTGAGTATACATGGGCTTAGCATGTGGGGATGGGAGTCTGAACTCAAGCCTTCACGCTTATACAACAAGTGTCCTACCTGCTGGGCCATCTCCCTAATCTCATAAGGTTCGTTTTACTTCAAACAGTTCCTTAGAAAAGCAGTTCTCCTGGAATCCAGTGTTGTGTCTCTGACTGGAGTATCCGGGCATTTTGTCATTGATTCTACAGCCGAAGAACACCCATGATAGGCTTGGGGCCGCTGTAGTCAACAGTTACACTTCCAGCTTGATTGATCTGACTTTGTGATAATTCTCCTTAGAGAAGAAAAATGGGATGAACACCAAACTACCTCAAGTGAGGTTCAAGGAAATACAGACATTTGATTTTTTTTTTTGAACACTTCTTCTGAATTAGATTCTCTTGGGTGATACGATTGGAAAACAGCATTTCATTTCAGTGAAAATATGTTTGGCAGCCCCTCCATATACAAAGTTCAACTTCAGGGCAAAGAAAAGAAACACTCATTATGTAACCAAAT